CAAATCAGGTCTACCAAGACCTAAACTTGATTATTGTTCTTTAATTGTTGTCATTTATTATTGTCTGGTTGAATTTATTGAACTTTTAGTAGTTTGGTGTGAACCTTGGTTAGAGGTGGTTTAGACAATCTTGTGAAATCTAAATCCAGCATCATCAAACTTTTTGTGCCATAACTCTATACATTTTTATACAAACCATCTTTTTTTTATTCTTCTTCTCTCTCTTGTTTTATCCTTCTTCATGATATATAGATTGTGCATCCTGCAGACTTATGTTTTAAAAGGCCCGAAAACGTGAGTTTGGAGGAAGGGGCAATGTGCGAGCCGTTGAGTGTTGGAGTTCATGTGTGCTGTCGTGCGAATGTGGGACCAGAGACGAATGTGCTGGTGATGGGAGCCGGGCCCATTGGGCTTGTGACGATGCTTGCGGCTCGGGCTTTTGGGTCACAGAGGATAGTGATTGTGGATGTCGATGATCAGCGTCTGTCCATTGCTAAGTAGCTTGGAGCAGATGAGACTGTCAAAGTCTCTACTAACATAAATGTGAGCATGTGTTGTTGTCTTGTTAGTTGGACATCCTATTTTATAGGATTGTACCCCATAAAACCACAGTAAATTTTCAAAAAGCTGGTAATTCATTTGCAGCACAACTTGTTATGATAAGTTGCATATTTTTTATGGTGTATGAAGGTATTTGTGTTTACGTTGGATACTCTGGTTTACGATACTCTTTCACCAATTATGAATTGAACCTACATCCGGTGCTTTTCAAAAAATTATTGTTAAATTTTAAAATTAATGAGAATAAATTATTTTAATTTTTATTTACTTTTTTACAATATACATATATATATATATATTATATATTTTAGAATGACAGTTGTTACTTGTGCGACTTACATTATTATATTATAGTAATTTTTATAACTTATATCATATTGCTTGAAATATAAATATATTAATTGATAGTACCAACTCTGACGAACATTAAAAAAAAAAGAATTTATAAAATAGTACCAGTTTTACCGTAAATAATACCACTTCTTATTCTATGCAGTACCAATTATTGATCAAACAGTATCTACTTCGTAAAAAGAACAGGAAATGGACTACTTCAATTTTGGTCAATATTTTCAAAATTAGCACCACTTTTGTGAAGGAAAATTGATTATTTTAATTTTACTCAACATTTACAAAAAGTAGTACCGGACCTAGAGAAGGATAGTACCACTTTTGTATTGCACTAGTACCTGATATTGGGTCTTTAGAATCACTTGCAATGAACACATAAAAACACCGAATTTCGACCTCAAATGATGTTTACATGGCCTGTAATCACTCTCACATTGGTTTATATGAGATTTAAAATGTTTTTAGTTGCGTTTAATCCTAAAATGGTCATGAAGTCGACACACTAATGAGAAAACACTACTACTACACTTCATCTTTTCATTCAATGTTACACTTCATCTCATAGAATCATCACACATGACTACTCCAAATTCTACTTATTTAATTTAACTTCAACTAGTTTTCATCCAAATCAAGCTAGAATGATCTATCTACTTGAAAAGGTAGACATGAAGAATTAAAAAAAAATATATAATTCCTAAACTAGTACCAGTTTTTGCCACAATAGTACCACATATTGTTCTACGTACTACCAGTTTTTGATCGATTAGTATCTACTTTTGTGAAAGAAAAAATTGATTATTTAAATTTAAATTTCTCAACATTTACAAAAAGTAGTACCGGACCTAGAGAAGGATAGTACCACTTTTGTATTGCAGTAGTACCTGATATTGGGCCTTTAGTACAATTTGTAATGAACACATAAAACACCGAATTTCGGCCTCGAATGATGTTTACGTGACCCGTAATCACTCACTCATTGGTTTACATAAGATTTAAAATGTTTTTAGTTGAGTTTAAAATAGGCATGAAGTCGACAAACTAATGAAGAAACACTACTACTACACTCCATTTCATTCAATGTTACACTTCATCTCATAGAATCATCACACATGATTACTCCAAATTCTACTTATTTTATTTAACTCCAACTAATTTTCATCCAAATCAAGCTAGAATGATCTATCTACTTGAAAAGGTAGACATGAAGAATTAAAAAAAAATATATAATTCCTAAACTAGTACCAGTTTTTGCCACAATAGTACCACATATTGTTCTACGTACTACCAGTTTTTGATCGATTAGTATCTACTTTTGTGAAAGAAAAAATTGATTATTTAAATTTAAATTTCTCAATATTTACAAAAAGTAGTACCGAACCTAAAGAAGGATAGTACCACTTTTGTATTGCAGTAGTACCTGATATTGGGTCTTTAGTACCACTTGTAATGAACACATAAAACACCAAATTTCAGCCTCGAATGATGTTTACATGACCCGTAATCACTTACACATTGGTTTATATGAGATTTAAAATGTTTTTAGTTGAGTTTAATCCTAAAATGGTCATGAAGTCGACAAGCTAATGAGAAAACACTACTACTACACTTCATTTCATTCAATGTTGCACTTCATCTCATAGAATCATCACACATGACTACTCCAAATTCTACTTATTTAATTTAACTTCAACTAGTTTTCATCCAAATCAAGCTAGAACGATCCACGTGAAATGGTAGACATGAAAGATTACAAAAATACGATTCCTAAACTAGTACCTGTTTTTGCCAGAATAGTACCACATATTGTTCTACATAGTTCCAGTTTTTGAGCGATTAGTACCTACTTTTGTGAAGGAAAATTGATTATTTCAATTTTACTCAACATTTACAAAAAGTAGTACCGAACTTAGAGAAGGATAGTACCACTTTTGTATTGCAGTAGTACCTGATATTGGGTCTTTAGTACACTTGTAATGAACACATAAAACCACTGAATTTCAGTATCAAATGATGTTTACATGACCCACAATCACTATCACATTGGTTTATATGAGATTTAAAATGTTTTAGTTGAGTTTAATCCTAAAATGATCATGAACTCGACACAGTAATGAGAAAACACTATTAATACACTTCATTTCATTGAATGAGACACTTCATCTCATAGAATCATCTCACATGACTACTCCAAATTCTACATATTCGTTTTAACTTCAATTATTTTTCATCTAAATCAAGCTATAATGATCCAAGTGAAAAGGTAGACATGAAAGATTAAAAAAATACGATTCCTAAACCAGTACCAGTTTTTGTCCAAATAGTACCACATATTGTTCTACGTAGTACCAGTTTTTGAGCAATTAGTAACTACTTTTGTGAAGGAAAATTGATTATTTCAATTTTACTCCAAGTTTACAAAAAGTAGCACAGGGCCTAGAGAAGGATAGTACCGCTTTTTTATTGTAGTAGTACATAATATTGGGTTATTAGTACCACTTGTAATGAACACATAAAAACACTGAATCCATAATCACTCTCACATTGGTGTATATGAGATTTAAAATGTTTTTAATTGAGTTTAGTTGTAGAATAATTATGAACTCGACACACTAATGAGAAAATCATCCTTAATATATATCACAACCACAATATTCCATATATAATGTAATTAAAATCGTTTAGGTGCAACATTCCATATATGAAATTAAAAACAAATATTATAATTGTTGGATAATCCATTAATAAAACTTCATTTTATTTTTCCACCAAAAACCGTTATAATTTTTTTCTTTACTTTTATTTTTATTTTAATAAAAAGCATTTACAATTTTTTTCATTAATAAAACCGTTACAATTTTATAAAACCGTTATAATTGTTGGATAATCTATTAATAATTGTTGGATGAAACTAAAAACAAATATTATAATTGTTGGATAATCCATTAATAAACCGTTTTTTTTTCATTTTATTAAACATTTTTTCTAATAAGCTAATTGGATTTAGTGGTATAACCAAACCTCTTACAATTGCATAAAAAAAATAAAATAATAATAATAATAATAATAATAATAATAATAACAACAACAACAACAACAACAACAACAACAGTTTCAATAATTTTTAAACATAATTAAAAAGCCAGAATCCTCAAATTTATAAATATCAAATTATTCATTTCATTTTATGCAATCAACTGATAAAGTTTAATACTTTTATGATATTTATTTTTACTAATTTCAAATTTTTTAAAATGCGATACTATTATTTAACAGAATTATAATTTTAATATTATATAACTAAATATAATTTAAACATTTGTGCATGTGCACATGATCAAATACTAGTTAATATTTATAACCTACCTAACTTAAATTATTAATTATAATATTATATTTATTTTATTATATATTTAATAAATATATTTCAAATAAATATTAATAAAAGAAATTGAGGATGTATACAATTATTTTCGTTAATTAATTTTACCTCATTGTTTTAAACACATCAATTTAAAAAAAAAAAAGTTTAAAATATAGAATTAATGTTTTTTTTTCAATATAATTTTTTGAATTTAATGAAAAATATAAAATTATGAATTTTGATAGTACAAAATAAAATAGATAAACATGATATATCACGCATTAAATTGGTTAATATCTTATCATAGAATCTATTTTTTTCTTTTAAAAGACATACAGAGATTTCTCCATAAATAATGTAATTTTAACGGTCAATCATATTGAAATTGTATTCCTTTTAGTGTTTAAAAATATTTATAATGTAATTCGTCGCGTTTTGGTACTTCTACTACGTAGCGTAAATAGAAATTCTTGTTGCGCAAGCTATTAGAGTATAAAATTTGTTTGTTAGAAATTTCAAAATAATTGCATGTAATAAAATGAGGGATATTTTATTTTGGTATGAAACGTTCGAATTTAAATTGTATGGATAGGAGTGTATTTGAAAATTTTGAACATAAATAAGTGATATGAATTTTATTTGGTATGAGTATAAAAGACGAATTTTAGGTTGATTTCTGATAAAATTAAGGTGATATGATTGTCAAATTTTAGCATATTTATATAATAACTTTCCATAAGATATTGATGATAATTTAAAATTGGTATGTATTCCTCTTAAAATTTAAAACTTCGAATAAATATTTCTTAATAAAATCTATAATTTAATTCTAGAGAATTAGTTGATAAATTTGAAAGGCAAGGTAACCGACAACAAACCTAAAAAATTGTAAGATTTGTAAAACATAGATTTATATAAAATATATAAGGGATTTTATTGTGTAGTACAATGTTAGTTTTTAAATTTAAAAGACAAATAAGTAATTATTCATAATTTACTGGTCAATATTAACTTGGACGTAAATAAAATAGTCTATTATTTATTGTTTCTCAATTATTAAATTATTTTGATTAGGATAAATAAATTTATTTTAATAATTGAAAAATACAAGTTTTTAATATTATACATATTATTCACATAGATTTTTAAATATATGATAAATTTTACCAATTTTTTTTTGTGGAACCACTTATATTCAAATTGAATTTTTAAATAAAAGATTTAAAATGACATTTATTTTGAAATAAATATAATGTATTATCAGTTATGTACACCTTGCGAATTGTGTACTAATTTTAAATAGACATATCTTATGTAATTTTGCACAATTTAGATTTTACATAATATTTTGAATAAATTAATATAAGGAGCATATTACATGTTTATTTCATATTTTTATTTTATAAATATTAAAAAATAATTAAATTGTGTAGAGAGAGAGAGAGAGAGAGAGAGAGAAAATAAATAAAAATGTGTAGAAGGAAAGAGAAAAAAGTAATAAAAAAATTGTAGTGGAGGGAGAAAAAATAATAAAAAATGGAAAAAGTTAATTGTTAGTGGGATGATGTAATATTAGATTTTATTTTTGATTTATTTTAATAGGAGGGATTTAAGTGAAAGTTTATTTAGGGGCTAGGGAGTTAGGAAGAATTTAAAAAGTGGTAGGGAGTGAGAAAGAAGTTGAAAAGAGGGTTAGGGATTTTTAAAGAAGTGTCCCTTGAATGTAGGATAAAAATTATTGATGTGCCCTTAATGAAGGTATAAATTTGATTTTTTTTTTTGTTAACCATTAGATCATATGATCTAATAGTCACGATTTATTCTTATTTATTTCCTAGAGCACCATTCTCATGTGAGCGTGACCTTATATAGGGATGCGCTCCAGTGAGAAAGGTGCTCAGTAAAAGAAATAAGAATAGATCGTGACCATCGGATCCGGTAATCAAACGAATTAAAAAAGTCCAGCAATTATACATTATTAAGGGTATTTTAGAGTTTTACCATATAAATAATTCAACAATCAGTGGACTCCGCCTTCAATTAAAACCACTAGCCGTTTCTTTCTCTCTCATGTCACCCGCACCAATCAAATTCCGCAGCTGTCAAAACTACCAACTCATCTTTCTCTCACTCATTAAAACACACACACACACACCTATAGACACACACAGATACATGCACATAAACAGACACACACACACGGCTCCACCAGTCTCACCACCGACCACCACACATCGCCGTCGCAGCCACCGAGCCGTTCGTCGTCTTACGCCGATGCCCGAGACCACGAACGCCGTCGCCGAAATTTCTTTACATCCGCCGTCGCCGTCGCTCAAACCCGACGTCGGCGATACCCAAAAACAAGAACGTCGTGCCGCCACCCAATTCAGACGTCGCCGATGCCCGAGAACACGAACGTCATCGCCGCCGTTTCCTTTTCGTCCGCCGGAAATGGAGCTCGATTCCGAAGTCGAGAAGGTAGTCTTATCCGGCGGCATCAACCGGAGAAGGTCGTCTACGTCGGCACGTCCTCTCATCCCAGTTGTTCACGCGGCAAATATGCCGGCCGATTCCAAATCAATGAGGCCGTCTCCTGAGACACTCGCGCATCGACTCACGTGGATCTGCTATCCATCATGTTAAAGAGGCATGTGACTATGGAGGTCCTCGCGGGCTGAGGTTGTTCGTCGGAGCCGGCGACGTGGTCGGCAAGAAGCTGCTCAGTCGATTTCTTATTTATTTATTTAATATTTGTTTCTTGGGAGGGGGCTTCTCTTTGGAAATTAGATAAGTCCTAAGGACTTATCTACAATTATTGTAACTGTAATATATTGCAATTTAGACCTTTGGACAAATTTATAATTTAATAAAAGTTTGATAATTGCACAATAATCATTGGAATGCACAATACCATGTTTTAATATGCACATTAAAAATACACATTTTGACATTGAAAATATCTTATATTGAATATATCTGGATACACAATAGTGTTAAATAAAATGTACATTAGTGACTATTATACTACATAATAGTGTTATACCAAATGCACATTAACACATATGAGAACACACACTTATATTAACATATATAAGACTACACATTATTGTTATACCAAATGCACATTAACGCGATTGGAGAATGCACATTAACATAACAATGGGCATATTCACATATATTAAAAGTTTGGTTATTTCAGTCTTGATTCGGCTCTATTTAGAAAACAAAAAAATAACTTAACTGACGGATTTATATAAAAATATTATTTTTATATTATATATATACGTATTGTTTGTTGCAAACAAACAAGAATATACAATATTAAATAAATAAAAACTTATGAATATATAATTTTTATTGTATAAACAATTTAATAAATGCATAATTATGTTAATTAAAATACACATTACTAAATTTTAACATTTAAATGGACATAAAAATTACCCACTCAACTGACTGCACATTAATGTTAGGTCGAATGCACATTAGTGCCTATGGATATGCAAATTATCAATTCTGAATTTTAATATATTATTCCTTTTCACAAAATTAATTTAAGAATATTAAAATACTACGCATTTTTTAATAATGTAAAATTTTGAATATTTTGAGTAATTCGGTTAACCACCCGATAAACACATTAATTCATTTAGTTTCGTTTTTGTTTGACACAAACGCTTGATTGGTGCAGATTGCAAATTAGCAACTGAATCAATGCACAATAACGTTAAACGAATTGCATATTAATGACCGTCGTATTGAGCGATATCAATGTCAACTTCAATAATTAACAAAAAAAAAATCAAACCATAAAAAAAATATTACTTTTTTAATATATATTTTTCACATTCATACTTTTTCCATGAACATAATGTACATTTTAATTGATTTTATTCTGCATTTATTATTATTTTTTATAATTTATATACTTAGCAAATGAATTAATTAATATTATAACAGAAGTTCCTAAAATTTGCAGAATAATCCCTACAGTTTATCTAATTTCTGTTACATGTCCCTAAATCCAAATCTACAGACAACACCTTCACAATATTGCCGCCGACCTCGTTTACATCGCCCTCCAGCAAGAGAATCTCGAGACCAGATGCTCCAATTCAAGTGACTGAAAATCTCCGGCCGATGCCGAGTTGAGTCGTCTGTGCAGCAGTGCGGGACCGACGACTGGCAGCCGTTGACTAAGGCGAGGAACTTGCGGAGATTTTTAAGTTAATTGGCGGAGTGGTGGTTGTCGCGGTGGCATCTCGCCGGAATCTTAGCGTCGGGCGGCGGAGCTGCAATGGAGGGAAGGAAATGTGGACGGTGACTATCTCAGGCTACGGTCGGCGGGCTGTGGCTGTTCGGTTGTGTACGGCGGCAGAGCAGGTTGCTGATGGTGGCTTGGCTTGTGACAGCGGTGGAGCAGGTTGTTGATGATGGCTCGGTTCATGACGGCGGCGGAGCAGGTTGTTGATGATGGCTCGGTTCGTGGTGGCGGCGGGATATGGTGGCGAAGTCACGTGATCGACCAAGTTTGTGGCGGCGACAAGACTTGCCGACGACGGAGCATGTGGTTGATGGCTGTTGAGAAGATGGTTGTGTGTGTGTATGTGTGTGTGTGTGTGTGTGAGAGAGAGAGAGAGTGACGGGTATGGCAGGGGACGGTGATGGGTTGAGATGTGGGAGAAGATGCTTTTTTGAAAGTACAAAACTGCCCTCATGCTTGTACAATTGACCACATCTTTGATATTTAATTACGAGTCTGCCATCGGTAATTGAAAGGGAGTTAACTGCATCTTGACTGTTAGAATAGTAGATCAAGTGGTCTATATTAATTCTCATTTCTTTCATTATGGTTCATTCTCATTTGAGCACACTTCATATTTAATGTAGTTATATATTGTAAGTTAAAAAATTATTATAATATAACACAAGTAAGTTGCACAAATAAAAAAGTGTCATACTAAATATATAATAATATATATATTTTATACAAGGTATTTAAATTTTCAATTACTTTTCTCATTAATTTTAGATTTTAAGAAAAAAATTAGCAAGCACCCGTGCAATATACGGGTGTTGTACTAGTATGTATTTACATGTCAATAAAATCCACCTAACTTTAATTATTAATTAGAATATTATATTTATTTTATTATATACTTAATAAATATATTTCAAATGAAAATTTGTACATTAAATTGAGAATGGACAAAATA